ACAGACGCAGACACACACACATACATGTGCAGATGCACGCACAGACGCAGACACACACACATACATGTGCAGATGCACGCACAGACGCAGACACACACACATACATGTGCAGATGCACGCACAGATGCAGACACACACATATACATGTGCAGATGCACGCACAGATGCACAGACGCAGACACACACACACACATACGCACCTGTTAACATTACTCCCAGATTCACAGCCCCCCGCGTGATGCCGCCCCCCAGCGAGAGGCCACCCCTACCTTGTGCAGCCCCCGGCAATCCAGCAGGGCGGTAAGCTGGTGCAGGCTGGCCTCCGAGGAATTCAGCAGGTGCTGGATGCTCAGCAGGTCCCTCTGCAAGAAAGAGTTGAGGAGGAGTGAGATCTGAGTACTCAAAACCCTACTGACAGGGTCCTGACAGAGTACTCTACCCACTACTGTCAGTGCCTGAAGAGTACTCCACACCCTACTGGCTGCCATAAAAGAGTACTTGACACTTTACTGACAGTGCCCTGAAAAGTACTCAACACCCTCCTGACAGTTTTGACAAAGTGCTCAACACTGTACTGACATTTCTGGAACAGAGTATTCAACACCCTCCTGACAGTGTCTTGACAGGGATCTCAGCACTCTATTGACAGTGCCCTATCAGGGAACTCAATACCCTACTAACAGTACCGTGATAGAGAACTCTGTACCTTACTGACAGGGTCCTTACAGAGTATTCAACACAGTAACATCAGTGTCCTGACAGAGTACTCAACGCATACCAAATGAGAGAGAAGATTCTGTCAAATTAGTTTGTATATTTCTGAAGAGTATACTTTTTAAAAATGTACCCGACTGCTGGATGAGTTTAATCCGGAAAGTGTAAGTACGGTCAGGAAAAAACAAGCTAACATGACTGTAGCTTTATCCTGGGACAAATTAATGTAGTCAATTAGTACCACAGGTGTGTAGGAACTCAGTAATACCCTATATACACCCTAAACATTGAATCAGACTTTTGAGTTGAATGTTTCTTTCTGTTGATTGGTGGCACATATTCAGAATATGCCTTAAACACAAAGGTCGGCTCTGTTGGCAAAAACGCCATCAGAAGGCTATTAGCATCATTCGTGAGTGACACTAATTACGTGCCAATCACATGTCTAAAATGATCTTCTATTGATTATTATTTCACAGCCTGACAGATGTCGCTGCAGCTATTTGGGCTTATAGCCCGCCCACAGAGTCTTCCAGAATGAAATGCATTAGTGAAGCGTATTTTAACCAGCACGGCTCACCAACTGGATCTGCCATCCCGAAAGCAAACAGCTCAGTCGCACAAACTGAGACCAAGCGCTAAGAGGCAGCTTGTAGTTAAGACCCCCGATGAAAGTGCAGACACACATGCGGGTTGTCGTGAGGGAGTGTTTCCCGGCATTGTGCTACAGAGATGCCCTGTGAGCGCTAACTGTGTTCTGCGGGGGAAGCAATCAAACGTTAGCCTTTAGGCAACGTTTGTTTCTGTCGACTGCTCGTTATCCCTACACAGCAGTGACAGAGGATGCTGGGAAAAATTTGCATTGAAATTTATAAAGGACTGGCAAGCTTTCAGCATACCTAAAAGGGGGAGATTGCAGCTTTCATCCAGACTGTTAGGGAGCATTTCATATTGCTTGGGCTGGGCTAGACCCCCACGCTGCCAGCCCCAAGACTCACCTCCGCTGTGGGGAAGAGAGGCACGGCGAACTGCAGCAGGCCCTGCACCTGGATCTGCATGGTGGTCAGCGACCGCTGGAAAATGGTCAGCGCCTGCGGAGCGGGCAAGGATACTGATCACTCACTCTGCTGCAGTTGCAGCTATCAGCCAGCAGATGGCGCCAGGTCCCAGGGTTCCATCCCAGACTGAACTCTACAGACTCCAGCCAGCCCTGGCCTTCATGTGCAGGCCAGTACCATTAGTCCAGGACACCAAAACCCCCTGAGAGGGTGGGGGGGATGGAGATAGTGGACGGTGCTATTGTAATTTAAATCCAATTCAAGAAATAAAAAACATGGTCTGACTTTTAAGAGAAGAGGGTTGTGGAGGAAGGTACCAGAGGCGGGGGCTTTTACACGCACCCAGCCAGTCATCCGAAAGCGGATCTCCTTTGATCTCCCAATCGCAGTTCTTCCCAATGCCATGAACCACGTACCTCCCCCACCCACCCCCCCAGAATAAGGAAGTTGCCTCTGCCACAATCCGGATTGTTTTGATCTCACTCATTAAAACTTCTCTCATTTTGCCCACAGGGACTGAAGAAGCAGATGGAGGAAGAAAATGAAATCCGAGCTGTGAGTGGCTGAGGGGCGGGGCCTGTTGGAAGGGGGCGGAGCCTGAAATGCCAATTACAGGGAGCCAATGGGGAAGAACAGGTGGGTGTGTGTAGTGAGAGGGGTTTGGGCTTCTCAGAGCCCTGTATTAAAAACCTTGGGGGTTGTGAATCACACTCAGATTCTAATCATCAGTAATTACAGACCATTTAATGGGAGCACAGTGCAGAAATGCTCCGGTGCACAGACAGACACAGACACAGATCCCCGGCTGGTCTTTCCCCCGTACGCAGTTACCTGCTGGAAGGGGCTGGGCAGGGTCTGGCTACAGTACAGGTAGTAGTGCATGATGTCTGCAAGACAAGACAGTCACTATCAGAGACACGTACAGACACAGACACAGAGACACACACAGACACACACAGACACAGAGACAGACACAGAGACAGACGCATGGACACACACACAGACAGACACAAAGACAGAGACAGCACAGACACAGACAGACTCGGACAAAGAGACAGAGTCAGCACAGACACAGACAGACTCAGACAAAGAGACAAAAGACAGTACAGACACAGCACAGCACAGCCCCCCAACCCGCAACACCCTGTCACTCACCGTTGGTAATGAAGTCCTTGGTCTGATTCATGAGGAACTTGTCAGGTGAGACGCAAAAGTCACTGATGCCCTGGGGGCGTAGGACAGGACA